GGTAGGCGTCGGACAATTCATGAAATAATACTTTTTAAAAATCAAACGGTTTAGCCGCAAACTTCCGTGCCGTATAGCGTGAATAACCCTGTATATAAAGTAAAAATGGACAGAATACCAGAGAATACTTGTAATATAACTCATCCAGTGTAATTTTCACTTGCATTCCTCATGGTATGGTTCCAAAGATCTCAAGTCTCTCCATGTGGGAGGCAGATTGCAATTCAAATGTTTGGAGCATCTTTTACAGGGTGCGCTAAATAAAGTAATGTAACTGTGGAACCAGTGCATAAACGAGCGCACGGCCAATTCGGGCATCATTGGGGAATGAAAATGGCACATTGCTGCATGGCAATTTTCAGTGACTTTCTTGAACACCTTGTAGCGGGACTCTGACCATAAGTCGTTGCTTTCGGACAGGTTTTTCACCACCACGTACTCAATCATCAGGCCTAGAAGCAAACCAGAAGAGTTTCGCTGAGTTTGTAGTCCATCAACCAATTAAAACTACCTTTAAATGCGATGATGGCTTTCAAGACTCGACCCAAAGCAACTTGGATGATGGGATTCGGCACAAAGGGCCGATTAGTGGTAATGGTAACGTCGTTGAACAGCCGGTCGATGCTCATGATGAGATTCTCAATTACCTCTGGGGTAACGATGTGGGTGCTGGTCAAGTTCTTCCTTCTCTTTGAGGCACTGTACGTCTTGTAGGTTTTATTGAAAGAATTCGACGCCAGAATGTTCCCCGCCAAAGCACTGTACTCTCTCACTTTATCCGTCCACTTGTAACTATTCACCAACTGCCCATAAAGCTGCTGCTTCTCCTGCGTGGTCTCCTGGCTGAGATAGGCAGTGTTTCCCAGATTAAATGCCCCTGGGGGCGGCGTTAAATTTGACACGGAGTTCTCCACATCTCGCAGATTGTTGTTCACAGTGGTCAAAAACTCCTGGAGCTCCAGAATGTACTTGTTCTCCTTCACATCTTCTCCATGATCGGGGCGCAGCCCGTTGCTCACCGTCTCAAACACTCTTCTAACGTTCGACCTCAATACTTTCACAGAGTTGAGGGCGCAATTTAGCCCTTCGATATCCCGATCCATGGCTTTTCTGTTCAATAAACCTGCTTCGTGTAAACCAGTGATTTTGTTTAGTATTATTGCTATTAAAAATCACAATCAGCAAATAACAAGGTTATGTAGACGTGGGCTTCTGTCAGCCTTGTTCTATGGTCAGCAGCATAGAGAAAGTAAAATATTATTATTTTATATATAGTATAATTATTTTACTTACTCTATGGTCAGCAGCAGCTAATAGAAGAACATAATCCTTGCGACGTTACCACCCATAGATAAAGACAAGATCACCCTTTGCCAATCAATAGACGCGGTCAATTTCAAAATATCTACTTATATCAGTATTGCTTTTTAACTAGGAGGCTGATAACTTGCGTTTACGGAGCCGCCTTACACAATTTATCATTGGAGTCAGAGACAAAATCACAGATTACCAAACTAACTCTTCTCAACAATATTTCGTCTTTGGTGTACATGAAAGTGTGTAGGTGCAGGCGTTTTACATTCATTGAAGTCCTTCCCAGATAGCATTTGATATTCTATGAATATCCCAGAATGTTCAAAAAATATACAGAACATTGTGGGAATATCCATAGGTGAATCCACAGACTACACACTATTACCAGAGACAAGTACTTGTCTCTGCTATTACTATGAATCCTGGGAATATACATAGGCAGTGCTGCTTGGCGGTAACGCCAAAGCTCTCAGAATTTCTGAAAAGCTGCAAAGCTTATAATTTATTGGTTATTGGCATAAACAAATTATTATGTGCTATTACACAAATCTTGATTTTTTAAATTACCTATATGATTGTAGATTTATTAGTTACTAGAATACTGTCTTTCTAAGCAAGACAAAATTTAGATTTTGTCAATATCGGTTTATCAGTGATGTGATATCCGAGGTGTGACAATTCAGCACTTTTCCATGATTCACATTGGAGCAGGAGACAACTGCTGCTTGTCTTTATCTATGTTTATCTCTGGTTACGTGCATCACGTGTTTTTCGAAAACTTGAGAATATTAAAAATCC